CCAATTAGCACTCATCTCATCCACCTGCAGGTTTCCCTTATATTGGGCTCAGTTCCAGCTATCTGGGGCAGATCATTGTTTGTCTGCAGTTTGATTTCTGTTTCTCTGGTCAGTTGGTTTTGTTTATTTTAGTCAGGTCCAAGGTTATTTTCCCTGTTCCAGTGAGGAGTCTAATCTTAAGCCAGTGTCTTCAGGCAAGTTATTTTCCCTAACCAGTTGGCGAGAGTGTTTCAGCGTTTTCCTAGTCATTCTGTTTTCCTGATTCCGTTCCCTCTCAACCACTGGCCCTGTCTGTCCCTGCCTGATCTGCCCGCCTGAACCTCGGTCGGACTCCTGATGGATTCTGCCTCTCTGTGCGTTTCTGTCTGATCTGGATGCTTGACGCACGTTACACTGAACCTGCCTTTGCACTCTGATGGATACCAGGAACCCGGATCTGTCTGTTAATAAGTGGACATTTTAAAGTTTCCTACTGGCTGTCTTAACTTGCAGACGAGCAGAAGCCAGCAGACGAGGGAAAGCAGGAGTTTCCAGAAGGCAAAACCAAAGCTGGTGTCGATGCGGTAAACAAAATTCCAGGCCAGAAGATCAGAGATTCCAAGAGGTACAGAAGGAAAATCCACTTTGGGGTCAGGAGACAGATCCAGGATCATCAGCAGGCAGAATCCAGCAGGAGTCCGATTAAAGGTCAGGCAAACAGTTCAGAACAGCGGCAGGCAAGCTCAGAGGTCCAAAGGCAGAAACTAGTCAGGATCAGGCAATCAGAACAACACACAGGGTACGTTTGAGAATTCTCGACAACAGCTTGAATAATCTGGCACTGCTGACTGGGAGCAAGCATCTTAAATACAAGCAGGAGCAGCTGGATGAGATAAACAGCATTGAAAAGCTGGGCAGAGCTCGGCATGTGAATAGAATGAAGCATTAAGCCAGTCATTAGTGCCAAGATCATGACAGCTAAGGTTTCCAGTTTATATTGACAAGTATATTTTAATAACCTACTATTTTCTCATCTATTGCATAAAATCCTAATATAACATATTAAATACTAAGGTTTTAATGTAAAGGAGATAAAAAAAATAACTATAATTTTCTTAAATTATAATTACAAGAGTAAACCCATCTCACATGATGGTATGGATCTGATACTGATACCAACTTAGGATCAATATTTTGGATCATTCTACCCACCACCTTGTGTTATTATTTCCAGACTAAAAACAACTCGCTGTAAAAAACAACAGTTCGCTGTGATGACTTCACAGCCCAGAAAGGTGTATTCTCTTCAATGTTAAAACAAGGCTATCTATGCAAATAATTCCCTCTGTCCCTGAAATGAACTTAGTAAGGTAATACTTTTATTAAGCCTTGGTAAACATTTATTGATTAAGAGGATCATTTCACGCATCTTAAAAGAGAAGCATCTTTAAAAATGCAGTATTGGTTAAACATTTAAACCCAATATTTAACTTTAGCCATAATAGTCTGATAAAATGCTATTTTGCATTTTATCAGATGTTGTCCACAGAGCTCCAGTGGCTCAGATGACAAACGAAGTGCATTACAGTAGATTGCTACCTTCGTTGAATCAGCAGGTAAGAGTTTTTAGCTTCAAACATTTCCTTTGATTGCTATCCACTTTGTTTATAAGCTTAAATAGAATTAGCAAATATGCGGCTGTTATGCTTGAATCAGCCATCACTGATCTATTTCACAGTTCAGGGTTTTTCTTAAAACCTTTGACAGTCGACAGCTGACAGCTCTCTCTATCTATCATTAGAAATTTCATAGTGCAGGCTGAAAAGATGTGCTATATACTTGTGCAGCAAATTAAACTATAGTCCTTTGAGAAAAAAAATCAATATAATTTTAATTTCTTCACACTTTTTTATGCTCCTGCCCTAAACTTTAACTGATTTTATTTTAATTTCATGTAATAGACCAACAGTGTTTTTGATAAATGTAACATACAGAGATAACGATGCACTTTTTTCACTATTTTTGAACAAAATTAATTATTTGGGGGATTTTATTAAATAAAACATGATATTGTTGCTCTGGCTGTATGCTTAGGGGAAAGGTTTCTAACAGAGGGCTACAATTAAGCTCCATCAGCTACGATCTCTCTCCCCTGACTAAAAAAAATAAAAAATAAAAAATTGCCTTTCTATAATGGTGCCGGCATCCCACAGTGCGAGTTATCTCAAAAGATAAAGAAGCTTTTTTTCAGGACTGCCATATATTTAACTCCATCCAAAGTCCAACAAATTGAGGAAAAGCATCGATCTGCATTTTACATCCACCTCCGTGTTTCACCATTGATCAGATTCTGAATGCCTTTAGTGTCATGAGAAGCAGGACAATCAGATTAAAAGATGACAATATAAGTGCAAAGACAGAGCAACAAAATATTAAATATGAAATGTATGTGAACTATATCTACAGTATAAATATGTGGACATCGGTTTAAAGTGCACAGAATTTTTTTGCTGGAAATAAATATGGTTTCATTTAAATATAGAATAAAAAGAGATGGTACGTAAATGTAAATTGTCTACCAGTGATAAGACTAGTGTGCATGGTTTGGGATTGGACCAAGGAAAATATTAGTGCATGTCAGAGTTCAGCATGGTTATAGGTTATAGAAATAAAGCTGTTATGGGAGAAAAAAATTAATTTGGTTAATTTTTTTGACCAAATATGCTTTTCCACATCCTTGTTATGCTTCTCCTTTTATCAAATGTGACCGTATTTCTTCCTTTGAATACTTTTTCACTGAAAAAGTCAGCTTTCCTTCAAAAGAACCATGCACTAATATCTTATATAAACAAACTGTAATCACAGTTTTTATTTTTGAATTAAAATGGAAAAAAGTAGAAAAAAAATATATATATCTATATTTTTTTTGTAATTTACTTCTAATCAGTCCATTCTGTTACATCCCAGATAGCAACATGGGGAACGTGAACAGCGCTAGCCAGATGAGCAACTACAGCAAAAGAAATGTGCGTGTTTTCATCATGGATAAGGCCCAAGAGATTGACGCCTTCATCACCTCGCAGAGCAATGAAGCCGAGGATTCTGTGGCTCCAGGGGCCATAAAGTTCAGCTTCAAGAAGGACGTCAGCTGCGTGCGCGTGCTGGCGTCGCAGACACAGGAAGTGCCATGGGAGCCGGACCGCTTTCTGTCTGTCTTTGTGGAGGACGAAGACGATGAGAACATCTGCTCCAAGCAGATCATGCACAACATGTCTCTGAGTGCTCCAGTTACTGTTCTGCTCTATGATGTGTGATCCCTCCATTGTTATCTGAACACATGTTCAAAAACATGGGATATGTTTGATATTGTCACACTAGGATCTGATTAATATCAGTGACTGTGACAGTTCCAATAAAATTGCTTCTTGGGAATTATGTCTCTGCTCCATCTTTTTGAAGTGAGATATAATTTGGTCTCATCGTAATGTGAGTGGTTCTCTGTGATCATCAGCTTCCTTCAGACCTCTGGACTATTTCTGGAGGACTTTATTCAACAAATTTGACAGGTGCTGATCGCAGTATTGATCAAAGTTATCTTTTACTTAAATTACCTGTAATATTTTAGCTGCTGTTTGTCACTAAAATCAGAAACTTTGCAAAACTGCAGTCATCTCCTAGGAATTCCTCCAAGCGCAGAAGTTAACGTTAAGATTTATTTCTGTACAGCAGATTATAGGAACTTCAGCTCATCTCTTGAGGCAAAACAAACCCATCTCTAGGACAGAAATATGCTCCCTTAAAACAGTTGTTATCATCAGGTGTATATCGACAATATTATACATTTATTCCTCCATAATATCCCTGTGATCTGGTCTAACTGCACGACTCACTTCCTCTTGAGACTCAGTTGCCTCTAAGTTTTTTCTTTAAATTCTTTAATAAGTTGCAAGATACTATTAAACTCATCTAAAGAATCAGGAAGCCTTGAACCCTAATAAAACAACCACAATGTTTAGGAGATATCAATTCATTAGTGTTATCTATTATACAGTCATTCATAATTTTTCCATTAACTGTAAGGCTACTACGAGGTTTAACAGAAAAACAACACCTGATGCATAATTCAACAGACACTGGGTTTGTATCATGCATTACCATGCTGCATTTTTTTCCTTCATAAGAAAATCAAAAATTTTATAACTCATAGTATTTCAGTTTCACATGTTTCTGACTTTTTCCATGGTTTTATCTGAGCACATTGTGTTAAGAATGGTTTAGGAACATTTGTTTTTACCCGCCTTTAGGTCGCCCTTGATTTTGGTACCTCCACCCTTATGTAGAAACATAATGCAGATTATAGGCAAACATTTCATGCAGAATAACAGAGCCAGGAAGCCATATAAACTGAGATTCAAAAGGTAAACCAGAAAAGACAATAAGACAAACACAGGAAGGATCTCTAAACAAACAAAACCCAGAGACACACACAATGTCCCCTTCCATTGTGCTTGCATTGTGGCTGTTTCATATTTTGCACTTTCCTATGTAACTACTTCAATTTAGGGTAAATATGCCACTCGTTCCAGATTTATTTACCTGCCTACACTGGTTTTCCTCTATCCCTCTCTACACCAGATAAAACAGGTTTTTATTTCCAATTAGGTGGCAACATTTCAGATATGTGTTCTTTCTAATACTCAATGAATGCTGGAATCTTATCGGTTTGACTTTATTTAAATAAGTGTTCTTGTAGGTTGCCTGTTCTGTTGTAAGCACATGCCAGTAGATGTCAGTAAAGAATAAAACTTAATTCAATAAATCTTGGAATATATTGTGTACTTAAAATTCTGAAAAGAATAAAATAAAATAGCCTATAATACAATAATAATCAAATCAGTATATTTTAAAGAAAATAATATATTTACAAGTTATGATTATAATAAAAATTATTGTTGTTATAGTATTATTATTATAAATTTTGTAACAATTAAACAAAATAAAGTATACCTTTTATTTCTGTTTCGGTCAATATTTTCCAGTTGAACTGTCTTGTACAAGTAAAGACAAAGAATTGCCCAAACATTTTACTTACTGAAGAACTTTAATACTAAAATAAAACACAACCGTGTGGTCTTTTCAATAAGTTACTTAATGAAAAAATAATGAGAAAATACAACTATTTACTGCCTACCTTTGAAAAGGACAGATCTGTGCAAAGAAAACCATTATAATGTAAACATGTCAGCTAAAATTTTAATGGTTTGTGTTGGGATATTTTTTTAGCAAAGATTAACAAAATACAAATATAGCGTTTTGCACCATTATTATTATTATTATTATTATTATTATTATTATTATTATTATTATTATTATTATTATTATTATTATTATTATTATAACATATATATAATATTATGTCTTTGTTGTTCCCATGCTGGGCTGTTGGGGGCAGCACTTAATCTGAAAAAGGAAAGGAGAAAAGTTTCACTTCCGGCTGGGTCAAAGTTCGCCGGCTACCAGATAAACAACCAGTTAGCCTAGCGGCTAATTAGCTCAACTAACATTTCTGCCATAATGGACGTAAATCAGGCGAAACAAGAACATTTACTCGCTTTAAAGGGTAATTACGTTTCTAAAGTGCATATGTTAACGTTACGGAATATGTTCAGCTGGATGGAATAATTGTTTACATTTTTAACAGACATTTGTTTCTGCTATGCTAATAGCGCTGTTAGCAATTTCTAAATGCACATCGTTTAATAGAAAATGTATGTTTGCTGGAGTTCCACATAAAGCCATAGCTAAAAGGCTTATAGAGGTTTGCTATATAAATGAATATGATACGTTTTCTTTATTTCTTTGGCTCTGAATAACGTTAGCCAAAGAAAAACTAGCTAATTATCAGTAATTGGTTCCTCGTTGGACAGTGCAGAAATAATTTGTTTCCGATTTCTTGCTCTGCCATAAATTAACACCTAAAATAATACAGTGGATGGAGAAATTGTTTATTTAGCCTTCTGACAGAAACATTTTTAAAGTTAGGCTGTCCTTATATAACTGAGTTTTCTGCTTTAAATGATTCCATTCATTCACAGAAATATAGATAGAAGCAGCTCAGTGACTGATCTGCCTAGATCAGACTTAGTGAAAGCTTTGCATTATTTCTAATCAAATTGTCTTCACTTTCCCATCATTTTGATTAAGTTTATGTCTTTTCTGGTAAAGCATTTAATCTGTGCACCTAGCAGAGCAAAGGGTCATCTATATCAAGTAGACAGTTCATTTGCCTGCAATGATAAATAAATAAATGGAGATAAAGACTTATTCTTTCCCTGATTTTATCTCTGCATGGCATTGAAACGGTACGTTTATTACAACCATATAGTGTTCTGTTAACATGGCATTATTTGATGTGATTGGGCAACTCTGTGTCACAGTTCTTAAACGTAATGAGATATTTCCTTTTTCCTCTTCTTTTTGTTTTTGGCTATACTGATTATTTCACATTACATGTGAAATAATGTAAGAGTTATATTTTTCCCTTTGTAATAGGAGAGTAGATTCCTAACGAAAGCTGTAATACTATGAATTTTTATTTATTTATTAATTTTTTATTTTTTTTTATTGTGGGGAAGATCCATTTTTGGTTGCCCTTTCGGTTTGTCTTGGCTGCAGAAAAAAAATAGTAATAAGGTCCTGGGGCCACATGGAGCCTGTTGGTAAATCCAGACATGTTAAAAAAGGCTGACAGCTGTACCCAGACTAAGTTCTGATGTGGAGCAAAACCCAATTAAACTTAGGTGGTCGCCGACATGATAGGTGACCAGAGGAGCCTGTTTTTCATTTATCTAGATCAGTTTAGGAAAGCCTTTTGTCGCATCTTTTGATCTTTTCATAGCATTAAATGCACATGTGGGCATGTGATTTCAGCGTCTCCTTAAACTGCAATGAAAACATCCCAATATTTTCTATTACAAAGATGTTCTGTCAATAACTTAAACACTTTACTTTGCAGTGATGCGGTTAACAAAACCAACTCTCTTCACAAACTTACCCGTGACGTGTGAAGATCGAGATCTACCAGGTGAGTTCATAGTTACGAACCTGAGTAAAATTCAGGTTATACCCCACCACACCACTATCCTGTTCAAGATAGGGGTGAGGGGAGACAATGCAAAATGCAGCAATAGCCTACATGTTGGAGGTGAGTGGAAGATAAAACTAGTGGGCAAACAAAGACAGACTGGTGCAAACCAGCAGGGGCAACAAAAAAAACACTATAATTTCTGCTAATATTGAAATGATGCTTATTAAACATGTATTCACATAATTTTAATTGACCTATTTGGCTCGGGTTCAGAATAAAATGTATCACACTGTTAATAAGATGCAAAAGACAGCTGGTTCAATTGGTATCTAATAAAATCAAATCCAATTTCTATTTCAATTCGGCTTAATCTACTCCCTGGGAACTAATGAACAAACTCTTTTTGTTTTGCTTATCATATATTTTTGTGATTGGTTGGGGTTGAATTATTATACGAGCAACAAAAAAATTTAAAAATAAAAAAATTTGCTGCGCAAAAACTCCAGGTACAAAACTGAATTGACAGAATAAACAGGATTTATTATTTTCTTTTTTCTGTTTAGTTAGAAGTACAATCAACTGTATTGTAGCATCATAACGGTTTTTTGCTGCAGATATATATATTTAGGTGATCTGCTCCTTCAGGAAGAATTAATGACCTTTAAGGGGATTTTTTGACATTAAACCCACATAGGAAGCAAAATGTCAAATTTAAAAGTCAGCAATTGGAGAACGTTAAGACCAGAGTTAAGAGGGCATGTTGCTATGACTTGTTGATTCTCGAAGATGATTGCCTCTACAGTAACCTGCGTCCTCTAAAGAATACTGTCCCTTTGTTTACTGAAGTAGTCTTGGCTTGTATAAAGCTTTGTATCTAAATCATATAATACCCAAAATTTGAATAGAAAGAAAACCTCCAAAGTGAAAACGGCAACATTCATAATGAAACAAAACATACACTGAAAGGCGTTTAGAAAAAGCCAGAGCTCTAATTGAGTCACAGTTTCAGGTCCAATTGTTTTACTGTAAGGCGTTTCCTCTTTTCCTTTTGAAAACCCTGCTAACTGAATGCCACTGAAACCATCAGGCTTGCTAAAATTTCTGCATAGATCTAGTTGAAAGGGTGAACAGAACTGAAAAAGGGCAAATTTGGCCTAAAAAAGCAGCAGCAGCAGCAGCATAACCAGGATGGCTGACAATTCACACAGGCTTTTATCTCAACTGTTTTTTATAACTTATGTTATAGGCATTTGAAGAACAGATGCATTAAAGCTGTTGCGGTGCCTGGTTTATCTTGTTCTCATGTTATTTATGCTGTGATTTTATTAGGCATTTTTTTGTTTGTTTTTTGTTTTTTTAACTTATTTACCTTCCTACACCTTTAAAAATCAAAACCTTACTTGAATTGTATCCCTCTCCTCAGTTCTGAAGAACGTGGCAATTGTGGCAAAAAGGGGTCCTTTCCATTGTTTTTTTTGTTTTGTTTTTTTGTGTGTGTGTATCAATGCCACAGAACCAGAAGTAAAAACCTATTAAAGGAATGGATCCTTTCAGGAAGCTCGTTTGTGTTGATATACACTGATCATCTCACCACTTTCTATTGGGTCGGTTCTGCTGCTTTTATTTAGCCGTCACCCTGGAGTCATTTCTTTGTAATCTGGGTTGTGTCCTCACAGGCGATTTGTTTGCTCAGCTTATGAGAGAGGACCCCTCCACCATCAAAGGAGCAGAGACTCTAATGCTGGGAGAAATGCTTACTTTACCACAGAACTTTGGGTAAGAAATGTTCCAATTTTTTTGTGATGCCGTGGTTTAATATCAAGAAATCAGTTTTTGTTTATCTCAATTCCCTCCTTACTTGCTGTAGGAATATTTTCCTCGGTGAGACCTTCTCCAGTTACATTAGTGTACATAATGACAGCAACCAAGTGGTAAAAGACATTCTAGTGAAGGTAGTGTAACAGTTACACTCCATCCTAAACCTTTGATTGTGAGTTTTGTTTTGTGTGTGTTATTGTGACGTGACTTATGCTTCTCAACAGGCTGACCTGCAGACAAGCTCACAGAGGCTGAATCTGTCCGCGTCCAACTCTGCAGTAGCAGAGCTGAAACCCGAGTGCTGTATTGACGATGTCATCCACCATGAAGTCAAAGAAATTGGAACACATATGTGAGTCTGTATTTTCTTTTTCTTCTGTTAAAATCCAAAAGTTCATTTCTAGAAAACAAATCAGAACATACAATACCATGCAGTAGTTTTTATACCATTTAAATGTTTTTTTTACAGCAGGTTTTTGTTTACAAATCTCTCTTGTTGTGCTAATTTTTTCTTTAGCTCGATTTTTTTATTTCTGATTTTCTACCCACGTGTCATTAAAACTTCACAGAAATATTAGTTCTGTGAAATACATTTGTGACAGAGGAGTAGCCTGTACTATCTCTAGAGGTGAGTATTGGCATGAGTGTTGCAATTTCGATACATGTTGCGATACTTGGGTCATGATACGATATTATCACGATATTGCAGTATCACTA